ATTTCTTTTCATAACGTCGATCATTACAGGGTATTATCCCTGGTTGAATTTAGCCAATCAGAATTTCTTCTAGAATTATTCATACCGTCGATCATTACGGTATTTAGTATTTCCACCTATGGAAATATCCCTGACTGTAATATCTACATCTTTTTTAAAACAACTTTAGCAATTTGATTTTTGTCTCCTACTTTATCTTTATGATTACTGAAATTGAATCAGTTTCTGTAATAATCCAGGGTGCACTAGCCCTTTTTTATGATGAATTGATAAAAAATCAAAGAAAACTTAAATCAATTAGTATAAATTATAAAAACCAAAAGATCTCTGATGTTACAGTAATATGTTTCAATGAACAAGAGGATAGAAGGAAAACTTAGCCTCAGAATTGGTATTATTTAATTATTTATTTAAAAAAAGAATGACAAATAATGATTATTTGATTATTTTAAATACACTAACAAAATTTAATAAATTAGGGTTCAATTGAAAAAGTTTACAATTAATACAACTAATGTAAGTAATTTAAAAATTTTTTTGAGGCCTTATAACCATTTAAAAATTAATACATTTTTAAAAACTCCACATATTCATTGTAAGTAGTATATTAATATTAAATTGTTACTTAATAGAGAGAAGAAGTTAGATTGTTGATATCAGAAATCGAAGTAAGTTGCAAATGGATGTGGATTATTATACATAGGCAACCCTGTTAACCTGAAGAAAAGTGTCTGCATAAAATAAATGTTTTCAGGTTAATGTGTTAAAATATATAATGAATTGTTTAGTTGTTAAAAAATCAATTAGAAATTATTAAAAATATGAATACTGATAATGAAAGAGGTAATTAAACTATCTATTTTTTTTTGCAAAATTTATCATAATAATTATATTTATCAAAATGGTTCTGGTAAAAGTAATGCTAATATTACTGCTAATGCTTCTACTGCAGCTGCTGTCACTACTGCTACCAATTCTGCTGCTAGTATTAATAATAATAATAATGTGATGGAGGTAGATCCTGAAGGTAATTTCAGAAAAATTTATATTTTTGCAAATTATGTAATAATCATGTATTATAAAATATTTAATTATAATAGACATTAACGTTAATGCCACCAACAATAATAATGCTGTTAATATTGGAGGTATATTAAATATTTTGATTTTTTTAATATTTTTTTTTAAATTTGTGTTGGTTTATTGAAAGAAAATTTTAAAATATTTTGTTTAAGCAGTTGTTGCTGATACTGTTAATATTGATAATAATAATGAAGTTGATAATGATATAGGTAAATTATATATATATATATATTTATTGGAAAATTTATCATGGTAATAATATATTAATTATAAGTATATTTGTATTTATAAATACAGATATGGAAGTAGATTCTGAAGGTAATTTCAAAAAAATTTATATTTTTGCAAATTATGTAATAATCATGTATAATAAAATATTTAGTTATAATAGTTATCACTAATTATAGCTGTCAATATTGGAGGTACATGATATTTTTTATATTTTTTTTTTTGCAAATTTTATCATGATAATATATTAATCATAAATATATTTGTATTTATAACTATAGGTATTGAGGTTATCTTTATTTTTTAATTCATCTTGATAATAATTATTAATTATAAAATATATTTGTATTTATAAAAATAGATATTGGTGATAACAGCATTAGTAGTAACAACATTGGTAATCTTTATTTTTTTATTTTTTTTTTATTTGCAAATTCATCTTGATCATTATTATTAATAAAATAAATTTGTATTTATAAAAATAGATATTGATAATACTGTTAGTAATAATAATGATGGTGAGTTTTTTTTTATTTTTTTGTTTGCAAATTCATCTTGATAATTGTAAAAATTAAAGTCAATAATAATAAATATATGTATATCTTTATAGATGCTGGTAGTACCCAAAATGATATAGTAGAAGGTAATCAAAAGATATCCTATTTTTTTTTTGCAAAATAATTTTTATTTTTTGCAGGATTTTAAAAGTTAATATATATTAATATGTATTTATTTGTAATATTAGATCATCTAATCACTAGAAATACCAAGAACATTATTCAGTACAGTAAGTAAACATAATAAATAGCTTAAGCACTATTATTGAGAGAAAGTAATTAAGAATTACATAATTGGATACTGCCATAAAACGAAATAAATAGTATTTTTAACCAAATCAATAGATTTTGTGTGAGATGCGGATTTTGATCTCACAGTAGTTAACAAATTTAGAATGTCTGAAATTTTTGGGTTGAATGTAAACCAAAAAGCTGAAAAACCAAACTGAATCAGGTGGTTTGGTTTGGCCTTTAAAATTTGGATTGTAAACCAAACTGAAACTGAATATTCAGTTCAGTTTCAGGTTGGGCATTAAACTGAACCAAATCAAACCATTCAGAGCTTTAGATGGCATTGATCATTCAATTTTTTACAATTTGCAACATGATTAATTCAATTTTTTCTTAATGATTTTTAAAAGGTTTTGTTTGTTGTAATTAATACTTATT